AAATGAAGTCGATCAGATTATGAATCTAAACCATTCTCGAATCGACCTGAAGACAAACAAAAAATTTCACGAAAATCGGTCCAGCCGTTTCGAAGTATTTCAGTAACATACACAAGTACAGAAAAATTATATATATAAAGATTGGCTATACTATATTGGCCTTGTCACGGGTTACTGGAGGAGACGCCCTTATGAAAAGCTACATTAAAATGACCGTCTTTCCAAGCGTTGTTATGCTTTAAAATATATTTCCCATACAATAAAATAAAATAAATTTTTAATCAAATTATTTCTTTTAATTGTTTTTTTTTTTTCAATAATTTTCATAATACCATTTACGTATTGATGTTGTTTCAGTTTTAGGTATTAGGTATAATACGTGGTACATAAGGTAACGAAAAATGAAACTGCTGCACATTTCAGACATGTACGGAAAACTTTCAGATTACATGCATATGCGGGGCGTAAATAACGTGTCGGGCATTTGTAGTGAAATGCTGCGCGCGAGGCGCTACGACGAGTGCTACGACGGCTTAATTATTTCTTTTTGTGAGACCCCCGACGGGAGATCGCAGTGATTATGCTACTCTCCCCCCCCCCCCCCCCCAACCCCCCATTGCACCAAAGATTAGCGATTAACACAACACTTTCTTAATGGTTGGCAACGCATCTGCAAACCACCAGGTGTTGTAGATAAGTTGCCAATTCTGCTGTCCATGGCGACAACGGCGATCCCTCCGGCGTTGTACATGTCCATGGGCGGCGGTCATCACTTAACATCAGGTGAACCGCCTGTTCGCTTACCAACTTTTCACGTAAACAAGAAAGAAAAAACACAACAGTTGCGCTAGTTGAGTTTCGATGCCTAGCCCGAATAAACAATTTTAACAGGCTTCAAAATGAACATACCGAATGTATGATTATTTTTTATGTATATTCAGTGATAATTTGTAACGTTGTCTCATTATAATAACACTTATTTTGTTAGAATAGTGGTACCAAACAAGTGGACCCCACATAAATTCAGCCAACCTCCGATCTAACTCCTAAACTAGCAGACAGTTTTTATAAAAGGACACTTTTTTTTAGATTATTTTAATTGTGACGGGAGTAACGCATCTGTCGCCATATACAACATCAGATTTTTTTTCATATCTATACTACAGTAAAGATACACTGATTACTGTCCACTCCGTTGACATAAAGGAGTTAATCTTTGCCAAGACGCTCTGAGCTCATTCACGCTCGCACAATACGCGATGCGGATTTAGCAAACACAGTTTTAATTAGCGTCATTCGTAGAGTGCTCCCTTAGCGACGTCTAAGGCAATTCAAGTGGCTATCTCATGTCGCGCAAGTTTTATTACCGTCACATTGCATTTGTACGACCCTAAAATAGGTTTAATATAGAATTTTTATGTTTTTAAAACTTAAAAACATTATACAACAGGGTAGGAAGGACAAGAAGAGATAGGAGACTCTCTCTCTCTTTCCATATGAGTGAAAAATCTAGTTAAGCATTGTGTGATAATTGATATGGCAAAACATAGAGATTTGATATAACAGCGCAAAATAGAAAGACTTAACTAAGAGTTAAGAGAGTATCGAACTTGGGACCTATTGCGCTAACAATTTAACCCGTTGTCAACCGGACAAATCACACAGCGTACCTTAAACAATTTCGCGACATGAGCGAAGTTAAATATTTGATAAGACTTTGAACGTGGCACATGTAAGAAGTTATTATGAGGGCGTAATCGCAGCTCTTTAAATAAACTACACGCGGTGGCTTTTATTTGACGGAGACATTCGTAGCAGCCAGGGTTGCTACGAGTAAAAACTAAAATAAAGCAACAGCCTTTATATGTCCCACTGCTGGTCAAAGGCCACCTCTGTACAAATGTTATTAGCGGGGTCATCGCGCGACCCCACTGGACTGGCACATGCCTTCGAAATATTTGATAATTTAATTATATTTTTATGAATATTTTTTTTTTTCTGATTATTTCGAAAATATGCAGGTTTCCTCACGATTCATTCCTTCGTGGTTGAGGACGGCATAAGTAAGCACTTAAAATTAAGAATTTCAATGATGCCGACACAGAGGATTGACTCGGGTTGCTCGAGTATATTTCCAATGGACATTTGGAGTTTCGCAATCATTAAAGGCTTTGCTTAAGTCAATGATTTGACACTCAAGCTTACAGTAGCGATAAAACAGTCCCACAGATATAGATAGAAATCACTGTATCATTATTTACTATCCTTCAAACAAAGAATAAATGATATGTGAACTGCCTGCCCTAGAAGTATTCGTTTTATATGTAAATAAATCATAGATACAAACGCTAAAGCTTTCTTTATCCCCCCGACATATTTGTCCCTAAACTATATTTGTAGAAAATTGTCAAGAACTTTCCACGCTGCGGGAAGAACCCGCGTAAAGCATCTGGACGCGGTACTCGGAAGACCGAGTCCAGGCGCTTTTCCAACTATCGACCGCTCGGCTTATTTATTCGGGAAAACAACAGCACATTATATACAATAGGTATTTTTTTATGTGAAAACTTGTCAAGCGAGCAGACGGTTCACCTGATGTTAAGTGAATACCGCCGCCCATGGACATCTGCTACACCCGACGGTTCCGGATGCGTTGACAACCTTTTGAAAATTGGGCTCCGGCCACCTCACTCACCAGACGAAACGCGAAAGTATTATACTTCCACTTGAAGCCGGTCTTCTGTGAGGTCGTGGTATTAAACCCGGACGAGCCTGCCCATTCGTGCTACAGCCGTGGCTACTGCGTGAGCCTACCACCGTGATTTTCGGATTATAACATCTTATTGAAAACCAATCACGGTTTTCCACTTAGCTTAGTTCGAAACCCGCATCGCGGAAACTTTTGTCCATTTATCTATAAAAATCCACGTCTTAAATATTCATAGAAGCTAATAGGGGTGCTTAAAAGGGAAAACTACTTAGGTGTGGACAGCCCTGACGCGAACTGTGCGCCAGCGTCGCGTTAATATATTCCATCAGGCGAGTAAACTGCAATCTGCGCGCCGCCCATTCATCGCGCAACGGACATACGGAACCCTGTTAGCGCTCGCGCGGAACCCTATTTGCCCGCTCGGAGCCATTCTAGGGCGCATTCATTTCCCGCTGCTATAAAACTTCCAGTAGGCGGATGATTGGAAAAAAAAAATTAAAACCGACCAATTGCTAGTCGGACTCGTGCATGAACGGTTCCGTATGATTATCTATAAAAACTGCAAAAAAAAAAATCATGTATTTTGTTTGGGAGCCCCGCTTAAATATTTTTTATTCTGTTTTTTAGTATTTCTTGTTATTTCGACAAACAGAAATACATCATCTGTGAAAATTTCAACTGTCAACTATCACGGTTCATGAGATACAACCTAGTAACAGACGGACAGACGGACAGACAGCGGAGTCATAGTAATAGGGTCCCACTTTACCCTATGGACATGGAACCCTAAAAAACAAACAGCAGACGGGGGTCTACTAACAGGCCAAGTAACAGCTTCTGCTGTGGCACTATTAGGCAGATTGTTGGACTTGTTGAAAATAACACAAAAGCGAAGCTGCTTTAAAAAACCTTAAAACACAGTTTAATTTTATCCAGGCATTATAAATAGATAATTAAAAATAAAGTAAAATTATTTTTATTTATTATTTTTATTAGGTATATATTTTATTTATTTTTATTTTCGATGATGTTAAATAAATTTCTTTCTTTCTTTCTAAAGACGATGTGTATAGTTATTAATGTCACTTCAAGTTATGGTAACTTATAATCAAGCGTAAAAAGCACAAAGTATAATATAAAGTTTACCGCTCTTATCCTTAACATCTTCTTTCTCCTACCGTTACCTATATAGGTCGGCACATCTGAATCATGTTATTAACGTTATGTATTGATTTTTACGACAAGTTGCATGACCCTCAACCGTTTTTAGGAACAAACACAGTTCCGGAACATTTATCTGGTGTATGTACCCGTGACCCTGAAGCCAATGGCGTCGTGACAGCGCCACCGATTTCTTTACCTTTAATATGCTAAAAATTATCTCATTGATATTTAATATTTAACTATGTCAAAGAGCGTAGAACAGTAAAGTAACAGCCTATACAACTTCTATTGCTGGGCAAAACCCTCCTCTGTACAGAGGGTATAAGGGCGAAGTCACTAGGTGACGCGACCCACTGCGGATTGGCGAACTTCACGTATATTCGACATATTTTTTTCGTTATTTCGAATATATACAGGCTTACGCACGATGTTTTCCTTCACCGCTGAACTTATAAGTCAGCACATAAAAATTAAATAAATCAATTTAATCGGCGTCGGCATCGCGATTTGAACTCAGGCTCAGCTCGAGTATATTGAATTAAAAGCGAGTGTCCGGTAGTAATTCAAGATTACATATTTTTACAATACATTTTGTATTTTAAGATATTTTGTAGTATCAACTAGCGCCCCGCCCCGGCTTCGCACGGGTGCAACTCTGCATGTTTGTTTTCGACATCGCATTAGAAACATCTAAAATTAGTGTTTCGCTACTATATTATGCATGAATTCTACATATGAACCTTCCTCTTGAACCACTCTATCTATTAAAGAAAACCGCATCAAAATCCGTTGCGTAGTTATAAAGATCCAAGCATATATAGGGACAGACAGACAGCGGGACGACTTTGTTTCATACTATGCTTTGATAATGTTAAGAGATGAAAATCAATTGAGATTCATAGATTTCGAGATAAAAATCAACTGACAAGAGATGGCGTATCTGAACTTGATGAAAGAATTATTTTTATTTCATAAATAAGCACTTAAAATTACCAATGTCATTGGTGCCGATACCGGGATTTGAACTCAGGTCGCTCGAGTATCATATATTAAAGGCGACCGCGCGAACACTGAACTATGGTGGCTAATTATTTAGTTCTACGATCTCAGACATATCGGGTCTCACCTGTGGTGCGCTCTTTTCAACGGCTTTAGGCTTCAGCCTCTGCAAATGGTTGGGAAGTCTGGCTTCTTTGCCCTTGGCTTCGACGGGCACATCTCTGTCCACTTCACTCCTATCGCTGCCTCCCTTACTCCTTCCGGGGTTAACTCTTGACGCCTAGAACCAGTTGAAATTAATTCATAGACTCGCCCAAGTGTGCCGAAAGTAGTTATTGTTTGGGTCAAATTCAAATGCAAATGAATTTTAATATATTTTTTAAATGTATAATATGTTCACAACCCTCATTAAACTTTGAAGAACAAAAGGACGGAAAATTTTTCGCTGTTGAGGGAAACGAACCCACGTCCACCGGATTCGCGCCCAGACGCTTTAACCACTAAAGCTAACCGGCTGATTGCCACACCAAGAAAATCTCAATGTATTTTTTTTTTTTACTCAAACTGGCTAGCACTAGACTGCTATCTCACCTGATGGTAAGTGGCGATGCAGCCGTTGATGGTAAGCGAGTTTCATCTAGGTGGTTTTTTACGCATCGCATTTTAAGCAATAAATAGTTGGCGCATCGATTGTTATACCCTTTACACCATACAAACAATTTCAAATATCGTTTTAAACGAAATTCGAACAAACGAAGAAATCTCACCATGGCTATATGAAATTTGTATTTTTATTTTATTATTTTTCATTATAAGTCAAAGCTTTATGAACTCTGATTAATTGCAGTTATAGTGTCATTTTCTGAACAACAGGACCCATAAACATTTAACGACATCAGCCATTTTATTGATCGACTTCAAAACAGTGGAGGCAATCAATTCAGTTGTATTTTTAAATGCATGTTACCTCAGAAATCCTTAATTTATGAGCCGATTTTAATTAAAAAATTATTTGTGAATCGAGTTCGGTTTAGCTCCCCTGCCGTTTATAATTGAGCCACTGGATTTTATCGCGTTTTGACTGTTGTAAAGTCACGAACATTCCGGCATTTTGCCGTGTAGGTCACGGGACGGTGAATGTGAAGTATTTTTTTCGTTATTATTTCGAAAATGTGCAGTTTTCCTCACTACGATTTCCTTCACCGCCGAGCAGGTGATAGGTCGGCACTTAAAATTGACAATTTCACTGGCGCGAACCGGGGATCGAACTCGGGTTGTTGCTACACTGAGCTATCGCGGCTCGTTTCCTTAATGACTCTACTATTCGTCATAGGGGTGCGTTCCGTAGGAGATCCCGGAGTCCCTCCAAACGTACAGAAGGTGGCCACCGAGGGGGTTTCAGTGGGTAAGAACCCCACATACCTATCACAAAATGACAGGGTATCTTACGAAGATTTTCCCGCCGATACCAAAAAAAAAAAAATAGGGGTGGGAACCGGGGATCGAACTCGGCTTGGTAAAATGAGCTACCGCGGCTCGTTTTCGTAACAATCCGGCTACTCGTCATCGGGGTGGGAGCCGAGGCCGTTGCTCGGAGCAGCCGCCCTCACCATCTCCTCGTTCCTGCGGATCGCCTCCAGCTGCTGCTCCCTGGCCAGCGCCTGCCGCACCGCCGGCGGCGCCCGCGCTCGCTCCTCGTTGCCTGCACTGACAGACTTATATTATTTTTTTGTGGAACGGCTTGGTTAGTAAGTACGACCACTGCGACATAGAAGATCAATGTTATCGAAGGGAATACTATTGTAGTCATACCACATAACTTAAGTAAAACATTGCCCCTTATGGGCCGACAATTAATCGCGATAGGCTCGAAAGGGGGGAGAGGGGGGAGAGGGGGTTTGGTAAAAATGTATTACGTCTAAATATGGCAGGGGGGTGTAGTAGGATATCACGTGTATTTATTTTTTCGTCAAACGCGAGATTTCTCAACCGAAAAGCACTGTGTAGTGTGACCTTGACTCTCCGTTACGTTTTTATCATGGTCCCTAATCTCAGAATAAAATTAGATTATACTCTAAAGCTGTATTTAACGATAACATTCTACAAATTTGAAGATTCTTGGTAGGTACTAAAAATACACGTGATTTTCGGTGGGGGATGGGGGTCAGTTCTCATCACGTATCACCAAGGGGGAGAAGGGGGTTAAAAATGCTAAAAAACATCATGTAATTAATGGACGGCCCCTTACTGTAGGCTGACATTATCCTGCGTTGTAAGGACATTTTATATTCGTAAATTCCACGTGGACCAACAACCGGCTGGAAGTTAGCATAGAATAATTTTTTTTTAACTTAAATGAATGCCAATTAATTGCTCTTGAAATGATCTCCATTAGAATCCGTAATTGCTCCACGTTTATTACTATTCATTAATTTTTAATTGATTTTTAAAAAATTAAATTTTTTTTTTTGAGCAAAAGAAATTACATGGATATTTTATGTTTTATAGCAAAATATTTTTTTTTAAATTAATTAAAAATTAATGAATATTAATAAACGTGGAGCAATTACGGAATTAGATATCTAATGGAGCATTTCAAGAGCAATTAATTGGCATATCGTTTAATTAAAAAAAAATTCTACGCTAACTTCCTTCCGGTGCACCAACACCCAGTATGGAAACAATTATCTGTAGGTCACAAAAATAGTTGTCTCGTGTGGGACATTTTTTTGTGTTGCCCACAATTAATTGTTTCGGTTGTTTGTCCACATGTATGTATGTCGGACGTCACGCGACTACCCGTAGCTCATAACATAAAGCGAACAACGTGACGTCACGCGACTACCAGGACAACAGAGGCGACGTATCAGCATAAATTGAAAGCCATGCCGTCTCGCGACTACGCGTAGCCCATAACAACATAAAGCCTACGCCGTGATGTCACGCGGCTACCAGGACAACAGAGGCGGCCGACCTATGAAGGCGAGCCGGTGCACGTCGGGCTCCAGCACGAGCGCGTAGAGGCCGTCGGGCATCCGCTGCTGCACGTAGCGCAGCCCGTAGTCGCACATCGCGCCGGCGCACGAGCGCAAGCTACGCCGCTCGCCCTCGCTGCACAGCTGCAATGAGACCGCGGCTTTGGGATTAAGCCGGCCGATGCGTGACGTGAGTGTTACGAAAAGTGTGATCGGCGTTACGAAAGGTGTGATGTTACGCGAGCGGCGATTTCTTGATGATTTCGTGATTTCATTTCCTTCTTGAAAAGTTTTATAAATTAATATTTTGTTCAACACATTAAATATTCTACGCTTGAACTGAATAAAATAGTAAGTCATACGGATGGAAATACAGATCACATATAGATGGTGCTGAAATAGTTTTACTTGTTGCGTGAACACGGTTGTGTGGTCTAAAGCACAATCGTTTTTTTTAAAACATAGCCCTTACTTTATGGATAATATTATCCTATAAGTTGTAAGGACGTTTTACAGACTTAACTTACACGCAGAAAAACACCCGAATGTAAAACAACTATTTTCGTGTCGCACAAATAGTTCTTACATTCCCGCGTGGAGACCGAACCCGAGACCCCTGAAGCCGAAGCCAATACATTGGCAACTGCGCCACGGAGTCATCATTCTCTAATGTGAGTGGGGCTGAATTTTGCTACATTACGGTACTGAAACCTCACTGATGAGCTACGTGACCGACGTATCTCCACGCACTAGGGCTGTTAACTAAATGTCAAGTCCCAAATAGCAGTCCTTACAATGAATACAATGCGTGCTCACCTGGACGTTCGCCGAGCGGAGGGTAGGCGCCAGCAGATATGGCAGCAGTGGCAGCAAATCCAGCCGCAGCGCCTTGCGGCCGACCACCACTTTGGGGTCGCTGCCACGCCACACCGCCAACACTATGCTGTCCAGCTCCGCCTTCTTGCGGGACATCTGACGAATAACAATGATAAATGCGAATGAACTTTTTGGTTACCAAAAACTATAGCCGAAACCGCCCTACATGATTCACATGTGCCGACCCCTCCTAAGTGAGATAAGGGCAGCAGGACAATGACGATGATGTGTTGCCAGCGATGACCCACGGAACCGTGTGTCGATTTATGGTCGCGTTAGTAGCGGCACGTTGTACAAGTGAATGTTACATATGACGTAGAAAGTATGATACGGAACGAAACCTTACCTATAAGAGTTACATTCTAATCACACCAATTGGTGTAATTTGAGTGTCATATCTACCGCGTATTTGCACATCATTAGCTATGAACTTCGGAGGTGTGACTTAAAAAAAAAAAACGGCGGATATACACCTCCTGCGCCTGCACGGGGAACCGCAGTCGGCGCTGCGCCCTGGAGGCGAGCAGGCCGCGGCAGCGCGCCAGGCACAGCGGCAGCGCGCCGTACAGCGAGTAGTTCTGCCCCCGCAAGGTCCAAGAGTGCACCGCGTCGTAGAAGCAAAGCCAGCGCAGCGCCTCGCGGGCGACCAGCAGCCGCGAGTCCACGCGCGCCCCCAGATAGTTCTCGAACACGCCCTCCGCCAATCTGAAACGGTCGAAGGACACTGTAACGGAGTTTAAAATGATATATGATGAGGCATGTCGCAACCGCGATATTAGACGAACACACCTATAAGACTACTTGCCAATAGGCATAAAAAAATTTAAACGACAAAAAAATTAAACGAACACATATAAATGCTACTTACCAATAATCATAAAAAATATAAACGTCAAAAAAAATAATAATTTTCAAATATTAAATAAAAAAGAAATAAAATTCGTACTTTCATAATATGAACAAAGCATATGAAATTCATATGCTTTATAACCTTTACAAATAAACTTTACGTATGTTTATTCAAGGTCGCGGTAGTAGCGCCACATTGTTAATCTCCGGATGTGAATTTATATCGCTCATCATAGATTTTTTTTCTTTTTTCGCTAAAACTTAATACGTATTGCCTCCGAATTTCTAGATAATTATTTTATCGATATTATGAAAAATCTGTATTTCTTTATTTATATAATTCACATAATTAGTATCACATATGTTTTAAAACATTGCCCTTACTTTAGGATTACATTATCACTTAGACAGACACCCAATACGAAACAATTTTCTGTGGGTCACATAAATACTTCTCCCGTGTGGGAATCGAACCCACGACCCCCGTCGCCGAAGTATATATATATATATACTAGCGGCCCGCCCCGGCTTCGCACGGGTATTTAACAAAAAGTTATCATACACACACATAAAACCTTACGAATATTTCGTCTTTGGTGAATAATTTTATGAACTTCTTCATCTTTTAAAGAAATACCCTTGAAATTACGTCATGAAGATCGAAAGACCGCTGACCAGATAATAGTTCCGCTTTAATTACGGGACATTCGGGGTTACACGTAAAAGTGACAAATAAGTCTGGTCTACTATAGCTTCGGACATAAATCATCGCATCTTTGGTTTTTTAATGCAGATAAGTCGGAGAACCTGTAAATGAATATGACGTTGCAGATTACGCGTTGACCGATATTTAATGGCCCAATGTCTTGATTTAAGGCGTCTCTAAGATAAATGTTTCACCAGCCCTCAGTCTCTGGTGATCACGACATCATAATTATGTATAATTCAATCTTTCTGAAATCTTTTTGCCATCATATCGACAATGGATTGAATAAAAACCGGCCAAGTGCGAGTCGGACTCGCACACGAAGGGTTCCGTACCGACCTCACAGAAGACCGGCGTAAAATAGAAGTGTTATACTTCTACGTTTCGTCTGGTGAGTGAGGTAGCCGGGGCCCACTTTTTTAATGTTGGAAACACAGTTGTTATCACTTCATATCAAAGGAACCGGCAGCTCGTTTGCCACTCTATCACATTAAAAAATCATGTTTAAATAACTTTATTCAATAGAAGTATAGAAGTTATTACACTTACATATTGTCAAAAACACTACTACTGTAAACATTATCTATAAAAACGACAAAAAATCATGTCTGTTTTATGGGAGCCCCGCTTATTTATACGTTTTTGTTTTTTAGTATTTATTGTTATAGTGGCAACAGAAATACATCGTTTGTGAAAATTTACACTGTCTAACTATCACGGTTCATGAGATACAGCCTGGTGACATATGGACAGACATAAGGACATACAGACAGTCAGCGGAGTCTTAGTAATAGGGTGCGATTTTGCCCTTTGGGTACGGAACCCTAATAAGTCCCAGTAATAATGCAATGGATTAGAACAGGTAGCTCTAACCATCAACCTAAATGCATAAAATTCCATGCATGTAACAGTTTTGTTACGCACAGTACCTTGCCGAGGAATAGTCAAATATTAACCTTCTCCTTAAAATATGTAGAAAAATGAATATATATATAGAATGTCTTTTCGCACTTTTTCTACATATTTTAATGTTCAATCTTAAGTGCAAAGATTAGCACTATAAACAATTTAAATTTCTAAAAAAGCAATGGCGACATCTCTCGTTCGAATTATCGTTGTAAAACGATATTCGAAATTGTTTGTATGCTGGAAAGGATATAACAATAGATGGCGCCAAGCATTGCTTCAAATGCTAAGAAAACAATGTAGAGGAATGCGTTAAGATTTTCGTCGGTGTGGTCATCAGCCGTTTAGCTCAGTGGCTAGAGCGTCAGGCCGCGAATGCCGAAGACGTGGGTTCGATTCCCACAGCGGCGACAATCTTTTCGCACTTTTTCTACATATTTTAATGTTCAATCTTAAGTGCAAAGATTAGCACTATAAACAATTTAAATTTTTAACCTTCTCCTATTACGACTATTAAGGAATATTTTAGTGGATCATACAATCTGTGTAACTCAGAGACCCTTTTAAGTTGGACGTGTCTACCGTGCAACACTATATCTCTGGGCCTTTTTAGGATTCCGTACCCAAGGTTACGGCACCCTATTACTAAGACTCCGCTGTCTGTCCATATGTCACCAGGCTGTATCTCATGTACCGTGATAGTTAGACAGTTGAAATTTGATCTGGGTATTTGTTTTCCAAGGAGGGTTGACGTCAGGCAGGTTGTAAAAATATAGCCATAACCGCTAACAACACGATTCATGTTGTGCCGAACCCACCTAGGAGGCAGGAGGATGATGATTGTTGTATATTGATGATACTTGTATGCTTGTCCCTCTATTTTAAAAGTTCGCGTCAAACGAAGTCATTTGAAAAGGGCTATTGCACTTTCGGATGTTTGTTAAAAATGTCCAGATGGTGATTGATTATTTGTCAAAAGATTTTTATTGGCTGTGCTCCTCAATACTGGGGAGACTAACTTTTCCAGAAGCACAGCACATACCGTTTTTGGTTTTTGATTCATCGACCCATTTTTTGGCAGAACACTTACAGCAGATCTTATTCATTGCTCCGATTTGGACGGAAAACTGTTGAGCTTAAAGAGCTTGAAGACTGCTGTTGCATTAATGATGATCTGTTACTGTGAGCTAAAAGTTGATTACGAACTCTAGTCGTTGACGTTTGTTGTCTTTCTCTCTCATACCGTAGGCGTTGGGAACGCTCAGAGCTCGATTCCCGAGTGTGAATTTGTATATTAATTATAATATTTTTCTCTTTAAGCCGCTCTACTTGACTCTCTCCGACTTGTAAGACGATTTACACTTTCCGGCAAAGATTCTTCGTTACGGCATATTTTTGATGCCCTCGCCTGGGAACTATTTCTAAAAAGATAAGATCTTGATCTTTTGGCCATTTTAAAATGATAAAAAAAATTAAACTGCCTTTGTACTAAAATATTTGCTAGCTGTTAAACAGGAATTACCAGTATAAATGTGATTGAAAAATTATAAGAACCACTAAGTCAGTCACTAAGCTGTTTGGATAGTTAAATTACAATATACTAACATTTTTAAACTTGTGATATCTTTCGAATGGAATGTCCGAATTTAATAATTCGAAAAGTAATATAAAGCTATTGAAACAGTCTTTAATATGAAGTAATTTATTTTTATAAGGATTAATACCAAGATACAAACAAAGTGCCTTTTCTAGCGGCGGCATTCCAATAAAAATTTTAAAATAAAAGAACACTTATTGTGGCATAACTATAATAGTTAGACCTATGCTCTCGCGACACTTTTTGGAAATAATGATGTGTTCTGCAAATTCATGGTACATTATTTTATTCTATCATTAATAGTTTTCGCAGCGCACGCGATGTAAAGAATATTTTAGGTAATTTTTGTACACTTTGTTTCGGAGCCTATTCAATACATACAAACAATCAAATCTTTCCTCTTTATAATATAGAAGATATATATATATATATATATATATATATATATATATATATATATATATATATATATATATTAGAACAAAATATAAATGAATGGTTCAATGCAGCAGCAATTCACATGACACACTACTGTAATTACATACCTAAGCCAGGTTATTCAAATGATTCCATTCATATTTACATAAATATAAAAAATACTGCAAGTGTAATGGATACTTCATAAAAATTATATCATGCCTTGTAGCTGTTTACTTAAACACAGGAAACTTTTACAGGCAGCAGTATTTAACATATGCTGTTTACTGCATGTGGAATAGGGCAACAAATTAACCAAAGTAAATCACCTGTCATATTCACCCGCAGCTTGTATGGTCTTAATTATGTCAACTGATGGCCCATCTTCGAGTGTGAATATAGCTTGAAGCGCCTGCATCAAGCTCTTGTTGGTGTCTTTGGTGCCGATCGCCACGTTTTCTACATCTTTAACGGTAAGCTGTAATAAAAATAGGTTAAGTTATGATTCAAAAATGTTATGAATTAAATGGACTGTGCGCCGAACGAAGGCAGTCAGCTGTGCGCTTCCGATGGTACCCAAACATTTTGGACACGACACTCGTAGAAACTATGACAGCCTAGAGAAGCTAATAAATGATAGTTTGACAGGTCGACGTGAAAGTAGCATGTAGCTATCTACCCAGTGGTCAGACATAATAATGACGCTCACATGCCCGTCTATAACCAAAGCCAATAAGACCACCCAGGATAGAAGCAAATCGAATAACATAAGTGTAGCGAGCGATCAACACTTCAGACTAGACACGACCTTCTAAAATGAAGATGTTTGACTGTAAATGCATGACCGACGTGGACCGACAGTCGGCAACCATTTTTTTCGTGGGAAAATTATTTTATAGATCCCCCCCCCCCTGCCTCTGGTTCAGGGGAGTGGCAGTGGTATGTGGGAGTACCGCAAACGGTTCCCGCCACCAAAAACCCACGTTGCATCTGTCTCTGTCGCATCGGCCGGGGACACGGGAACTCGTAGACGCAACCTTCCACGACCCCGATGCGGCTACGGCCTTTATGGGCCTATGACTACGGCCTGTTCTAGATGGTGCTGTGCATGTGCAATTAGCACGGCATCCCTCGCAACCCCCATATACAGCAGCACAGACGCCCCTATGCCTGCCGCTCGGGGTCTCGATATCCCTGATAGAAAGGGAAGGTTGCCCGCGTAGGCCAACCTCCTCTTGCGCCCTGGTCTCCCTTTGTCTCTCCGCAAACTCCTTCCGGGTGGTTATGGCCTCGCAATATGCGAGGACAGCGGCATTCGACGAGAGATCGACCCCACGATAGCGCACGGCTATCGGCGCTGCTCCGTCCAGGCTGGGCACTCCTGCCAGGGCCGGATTTAGGGGAAGGCAACTGGGGCAATAGCCCCGGGGCGAAAATTTTAAAATTCAGACTCGTTTACTTTTACCCACAGTACTTTGTACAAACATGATTAAATAAAAAATAAACAGAAATCAATAAAAAAAATAGTTTGGGGGCGAGGGGCCTGCACTCCATTGTTGCCCCGAGGCCTCCAGACCTCTAAACGTTGCCCCGTGTCCTCCAGCGCGTGTCGGGCCGTCTCCTCGGCCACAGGATATTTTTAGGACACATTTTTACACAACCATCTCTAGTCCCAAACTAAGCAACGCTTGTACTATGCCTACTAGGTAACCGATAAACATACTTATACAAACTTTTGTTTCGTAAATAAATACATATAATACATTTGAACGGTGGTAGGGCCAAGCAGCAGCTTCGGCTGTTGCACGAATGGGCAGGCCCGTCCGGGTGAGTACCAGGACCTCACAGAAGACCAGCGTAAATGGAAGTATGACAAATACTTTCGCGCTTCGTCTGGTGAGTGAGGAAGCCGGAGTCCTATTTTAAATAGGTTGTCAACGCATCTGTAACCCTCGGGTGTAGCAGATGTCCATGGGCGGCGGTATTCACTTACCATCAGGTGAACCGTCTGCTAGTTTGGCAACTTTTCACATAAAAAAAAAAATACATAAAACCCAGACACTAGAAAGATACAACATTCGTCCAGTAGTGGGGATCGAACCCGCACCACCTGACGCAGGAGGCAGGGCGGGAGAGCGGGGCCCGAACCTGCGGCCTGTTCCTGAGGAAGCTGAGCACGTGCAGCGCGGCGCGCACGTCGCCGCCGGCGCGCGCGGCCAGCGCGGCGAGCGCCCTCGGCTCGGCGCGCAGCCGCTCCTTGCGCGCCACGCCCGCCAGCCGCGCCGCCAGCCGCGCCGCCGCCACGCCGCCCACCGCCACCGTCAGCGCCACCGGCCTGCAACCGGCGCCGTATAGGTCACACCACTCCTCGAATAAACTTCATCTGAATACACGAGCTCGTATTCCTCATCGGGATCGGGGAGATCGCTCATTTTTAATTTTAGAAAGTTCAGTGAAGTAGCCAGCTTGAGGTAGAATTAGTTAACATAACATATGTACACCATATAATATTAACTTCATTATCTGATATTCCTAACAATATCACAGACACCAACGTATAGTTGTTTGTTTATACTGAAAAGGAAAAATATTAGTAATTACATTTTGACAGTATGATTAGAATGTTGCTATGAGAAGTATCGGATGACAGATGTGAATGAAAGTGATCATTGACTCTAGCATTCATTATACATCCTGGAAATCGCCTATACTGCAACCACCCAGCTACAACATTCCATTCTCAAGCGATTTTATAAATGATAATAGTACTGATATGAAACACTTTATTACTAAATTGATACAGTTAAAATGATACTTAAAATATGATATGATATTTATGATAATTAGGTCCGTGACCGAACGTGAATTTTTCAACATTGAGGACCGAACGTGTGGCGTACCTTCATACTTTTACCTCTTCTTACACCTTTTAATTACATTAACATATATATTTACAATAACACATTCATCACATAAGTATTTAATAACATTTACAGTATTCATATTTATTATTATAAACATTTATACTTTATATTATATATCAGTTTTAATAAATTATCGACAATCTAATCCATCGATAACAAGTGGACGGAATTATCGACCTGCACCGCGTCACTACACCGCGCCAAAAAAAAAAAATTGCAAAACTACTCCACGCGAAGCGCACGCCGCCTAACCTAACGACTGCATATATCGAGTTAACGCGAGTGCTAAATTGCTTACGCTTATCGCTATTAGTAGACTGTTTTACTGTGCTTAGCTTATTTTCCGTCTCTTCTGTATTGCTGTTTATTCTGTGCCTCATAATCTTTCCACTTCTGTACTTTTCTCCTTCTAATTGTAAATTGGTTCGTGTGCAGTGCAATAAACATTATATCCGTAAAGCCGTGCTATTTATTTACTTGCCACCGCTAATAAGACATTCACGTCCACACACACACTACCAAAGATTGATTGTCGCGGTATATTTTAGTGCTTACAACGTATTGATGGCCTTTAGGTAAAAAGTGCAAACAAAGCTGTTTGGTTCAATATTGAACCGAACAGGATTAGTAGTAAGCCCACGCATACGAAGTGGTTGCGCAAATCAGGTGTTGGACACCTCACATTACCTTACACACAAGGAGAAATATGGGTGTATAAATTAGCAGTAGCTTCTGCATGGCTCTTTGCCACAATAAAATAATTTTTTTTTGTTAATTATCATCCATAACAGAACTCACCTTAGAGGCCTCAAAGAGGTTGCATACAAGTCATTACATATGGCAATGACGGGACGTCTTAGAGGCTGCGCTTTGGTTTTTTTCTTGCCTCCTTCCGCAAGAGTTGTCGTGCACCATTTCACCAGCAACTCCACAGTTTGAATTGGGGCACCGTCAATTTCGTCTGTTAAAGGAGAAAAAAGGTTTAACATTAAGGAAATAATGAAATACCACGACAGTACCACGATCTCACAGAAGACCGGCGTAAAGTAGATGTGTAATAATTTCGCGTTTCGTCTGGTGCGGTGGCCGGAGCCCAATTTTCAAAAGGTTGTCAACGCATCTGGAACCCTCGGGTGTAGCAGATGTCGATGGGCGGCGGTATTCACTTAACATCAGGTGAACCGCCTGCTCGCTTGGCAACTTTTCACATAAAAATAAAATAAAAGAATTTTCTATTTAGAATAATTGTTTAATTGTATGGGATATTGATAAGACCGCAGAGTTTCTTGCCAGTTCTTCTCTGCACAGGCAATTTAGTGAGCAAGTGGTAGTTTTTGGACGTGCAATGAACAAAGAAATTTGACTTTCTTTTTTGAACGAGTAACATACCTAATATAAGGCAGTTGGGTCGTCTATCGGCGTCCAGCACCGACCTCATCGACGTCGCACTCACGAGTGCGTTCCTGAATGCCTCCGCGCTTCTCTCATCCGACGCGTTCAATTCCACTGGCCTGTAACCTAACAGAACATTCCATGTGAAATTTATGTGTAAAAAATTCCTTACAACACAAGATAACGAAGTGCGGGTACTACAGTAAGGGCCAATGTATTGCGCACGATGGTCGTGGGTTCGATTCCCGCACGAGACAAGTATTTGTGTTACTCAGAGATAATTGTTTCGGATCTGGGTGTTTGTCCACTTTAAATCTATGTGTGTTTTAATTTATGTGATAAAATGCCCTTTCAACCCATGATATAATACAAGAAAAATAGGCAGAAATAGTTAAATAGTTTATATCTAGAATATAAACTTTGTGTTTATACAGCGTGTCGTTACCACCGCGACAATAAATGAACACACATACAGTGGATAACTTTTTAAAATTTATTAAACATTTACATTCTTTAAACATCAATATTTACCGAGTTATTAAATTTTCCAAAACAAACTATTTTAGAACACCCTTATGTATAAAACTGTAACGTAAAGTTCATTTGTAAAGCATATGAATGGGTTGAATGAATTTAAAAGAGACAAAACATACATTAGAAGGAGAGGCTTGTAATGCGACGCTGTGGCGCGAGTTGTATAGGATGTTACAAATTTTGTTTGTTTTTTACTTAATTAGTTTGTTTGAAAAATATTTTTTTTAAATTATGGATTTTGTTTAACGTTATTATTTTTTTATGATTATTGGCAAGTAGCGTTAGACGTGTGTTCATTTATTGTCGCGATGGTAACGACACGCTGTATAATATAATATTTTAAATAGCTCAGATACTGATTCCAGCTTACAAATTTACGTGATTGCAATGCTAACCGGCTAATCTCGCCAGAAGATGTGCTAAGGTGGTTTTCCCGACTCCAGGTGGTCCACATAGCAGCGCCACCTTATGATGAGGACGTCCATCATCGTCCATCTCAGGTTCTGTTTCTTTCTTGCCTTTCCATTTATTAGTCAGTTGGAACTGACCCGACCTCTTGCTAAAACTATTTCGTTGTTGCGGATCCTTCATTTTCACTTCCTTTTTGAAAACAACCTGGAATGATTTTTAAGAAATTAAGAATGATCAATCATTAGAGAAAGAAATATCTAAAATATAACTATGCTGGTGCTCAAGGTTAAGTAACTTTATTTAGTCTGGGCATCAAAAATCAGGCATATTGAGAGGTAGTAAGTTTTGCATGCAAAAGTTCCCAATAACAGAATACAATGGATTGTCAATAACAAAAAATATAGCAAGTCATAAAACTGAACCACTAGGTGAAAACCGACAATATAAATTTTAATAAAAATTATAAAAAAAATTATAATAAATCTACATTTAAAAATTAATTGCATAACCTTATCCCAAAGATGTAGCCAATGCAGTAGAGATCTATTAACAGGTTCCTCAGACAAGAGATCAAGATAGCAGTTAGGACGGTATTTTTCTACCCACAAACTGGCACTGTGATCTTCTACAACTGGTTGCAATTCCAAATTCTCGTCTTGTTTTATCTGTTGCTGTTCTTTATTTTCTAACTAAAAATAAAAGAAATATTTATTTTACTCTGTGTACTAATATTGGTTGTTACTATAAACATTAGTATCAATTTAATATAAATATACAAACTAAATCATGCAAATAATGCAGTTTTGTTTCCTTTAAATAATGCATATGACAGTACTTTTTATTCTAGAAAATATGCAGGTTTCATCACAATGTTTTCCTTCACCGCGGAGCATGTGATAAGTCAGCACTTAAAGTTAAAAACTTCATTGGTGCCAGCACCGGAAATCGAACTCAGGTTGCTCGAATATATTTAATTAAAGGTGAGCGCCCAGACACTGAGCTATCACTACTCACATACTATATATGTCAAATTTAGTTAATTAAAGGACACAATAGAGAGCTAATGCTTTATTATAAAATTAATGTCATATAAGCTACAAAACTTACAAAAAACAATAACTATTTAAGTAGTGATGAAAAAATTTGAAACAGTGATAGGCATGTCAGATTACAGGCAGTGTCAGATTTTTCAGATTACCTGGGGTTCACTGTACATCCATCTTCACCACTTCACTACACCCTGCCATATAATCTTATAAGACAATGTCAACTTACAATTTTTTGTGCCTCATCCCAAGCTGTAGAATAAGTAGTTTTTAAACATAGCTGCTCTACATTGAAATCAAGTGATTTATCCCATGAATCCTCAGACTCAAACCTAATGTAAATACGGTCTCCACAAGAATTTGTTAAAGGAACAAATGACCACCTGAAATATAACATTTATTTAAAATAAAGTTAGGTGTTAAGTGTGATAAACAATCTTTTTTTCATATGACAAAAAACACTAAGCACACAAGAGTCTTTTCTATACTGTCTGTAAACTGCTACTATAATAATGTATTAAAAGTAATATATTATACCACTTTATTGATTATATTATATTATTGATTCAATTGTCACTTGTGGTCCTATTACCTTGGTATATTAATTGATATGTTTTCCTTTACATTAAAGTTTACTTTTTTTTTAACATTTGCACTACTTGCTGGCTCAATCAATAACTGTTTAAGTCTCCTTCCCTCTAGGATCTTATTTATCATATCTAAATCCTTTTCTTCTTCTGTCTTCTGTCTTTTACTAGGCAATTCAATGTTATCAAAATCAATATCATTTATATCACCAAACAAATCCTCTACAGTTCTCTTACTTGAGACATTTGATGGTGGTGTTAAAACATCTTCCATACTTTGTAGACTAGGTGTTAAAGTAATTGTATCATCTTTTTTTGCTGCTTCATGATTTAGTATGTTCGAATCTTGATAGTTGTTTTTAAAATTAGTTGAGAAGTCAAGACTTCTCTTAGCGGGGAGCGATTTTTTTCGAATTACATTTGAATCTGTCAATAATTAAGAAAGTAATATAATTATGATTAAAAAGTTTTCTGTTATTATTACTTAATCGCTCACCTTTCTCATCTTCGATTTCTCGAATAAGCTCAAGTTCATCTGAGTACATAAGCTCATATTCCTCATCGGGATCAGGAAAATCACTCATTTTTAAGTTTAGAAAGTTTGATGTAGAAAAAAGTTATATGAAGTAGCAGTCTTATTGTATAATAAATTAACATAACAGATGTATACCATATAACATTATCTGATATTCCTAACAATATCACAGACACCAACTTATAGTTGTTTATACTGAAAAGAAAAAATATTAGTAATTTACAGAATTTCAGATACCCGCCAAGACATTTTGACTTTAATATTTTTTAACGCAACTCTGTTTTGGTGTTTAGTGTTACTAGATGCGTGCTCGATAATACTTTTTTTTTTTAAATAAAGATTATAAATGGCTGGTAACAAAACCTTTAAGCCAATACCAGGAAAATACTAATTACTAATGCTATTAAACAATCAGTGTGAGATGTATATGATCTTCAAATTAACAAACAATTAACAGTTTTAACAAACAAAAAACAATTATCTTTTTTTTTAATAAATCAAAAAATTTACAAAAAAAAAGAAAAGAATTGCACATGTAGAAATTTAAAAGCTCTAAATACAATTTTTTATATATTTTCTTTCATAATTTATCGTTGGAAAAAGTTTCAAATATTATTAGACATCGGCTAACTTCAGTATCATGAGAAGCTGATCAACTAATTAAATACTTCAACTACTTCGCGTGATACGATTATGTTAGTTTGCATGATTTTATATAACATTGCGTCGTTCAATGAGTTACGATTATTAATAAATATTATTCTTTTTCTTCATGTCTATTCTTTTTCACGAATTTTGAATGGTTTGGAGATATAAATAATATAAAAAAATCTTTAAAAATGATCGATATTTTTCACTCGATAATTATCGATAGTTTTTAAAAATGTCGATACGATAAATATCGATATATTTTTTTAACTTGCACATCCCTAATTTTGACAATACTGTCAAAAAGTGAAACTGAAAACCAAAGAGAATGTAATCAGTTTGCTGAAAACATCTGATCTGTCATCTGATATTTCTGATAGCAACATTGTAATCATACACAATGTTGCTAACAGAAGTTACAGAAGTATCAAATGACTGATCAGATGTTTTCACTTTCACGGTATTTAACCAATATTTAAATTCATCTTTTGTTGCTCTGTTTCTAGCATTTTGATACTCTTTACGTTAAGCTATGACAAATAAAAGAAAGGAAACAGTGGTTTTGTTGAAATAAATTTAGGCTAATCACTTATATCAGTACATTTAGCTACGATGTTATAATTTTAATGGTAGGTTCCTAGTTCCTACGATTTGTCAAATTTCAACCGTCGGAAATTAATAGTTTCGAAGATATTAATTGTAGAATTATTGATTAAAAAGACGACATGGCTCAGTTTTCCATTGACGTCCGCCGAGTTGGGGGTTGATATTTTTTTTTACAGGATGGTTACATTATTATTAGCACCCACCAAAAGTTTCAACATGCCGAAACGCGTCGTTGTTGAGAAAAAAAAAATTTAAAACTTGTTATTTTCACTAAGAAAGTCCGCCATTTTACTAATTTGACTTCAAAAACTCAATACACAGTACTGCCAAGTCAACATGATAAATATAGGAAGCGAGCGACGTCATACTCTTATCGATTGTAAAATTTAATTAAAATTAAAAATTTTATTAAAAATAACAATTTATTAAAATTTAATCCGTCACAGATCCGACACAGAGCAATCCGACTCGGATAGATTGGGTAAGAAGGTTAAGGCGGGAGCGGAGCTATAAGAGGAAAAATTCAATATTTGAAGATTTTTATTTTGTTACGCCAAAGAAGTAGACGCGTGATTGACTATGCCCTGATACCCTCTGTACAGAGGAATCTTCGCCCAGCAATGGGACATTTTATAGGCTATTACTTTTACTTAACTTTATAATTAAGATTAATTATGGTGGAATTTCGACCACTCTGCAGCCACTAGTATTTATGTAGTTATTAATAGGTAGCATATTCATATGTATGGCATTTTGTGTATAAATGTAGCTAATAATATATGATAAAAATGGTATAATTTTCGGAATTTTTTTTTTTTACTTCGAAACAATAACTTTAGCGAGCACTTTTATAATGATGCAATAACGCGCTAACTCTATTTCACTCTACTTTAAATATTCATAATCTTTAACAGCCAGCAGCCCTTATTTGCGGCTGGATTTAATTAGGCAACCATATATGATAATTAACAGAAAAAAATCACTTTCATTTGATATAATCTTATCCTTTAAACGAGCAATTCTTGTATATATATATATAAACATATATCTTATCGTTTACACGAGCAAATATATATATATATATCGACGCTTGAAAGGCAACCCTAACTAAGCGACAAAAATCCGTAAAATGAGTTATATATACCATTCGAATCGCCAGAATTTTTCGCGTCGTTTGATCTGAGTCTCATGGTTCTACGACGAGTTTTTTGTCGCTTAGATATTGAAAGATTTCGGTCAAAATCTACATAATGTGCTTACTAAACGACAAAAAAAATATTGATTTTAAGAATATGCAGCACATCGACATTTTGAAAATTAGGAATATGAACTTAGTCGGTTTCTTATATATTGACTTTTTCATTTATTTGTATTTACGTATTTTTACTTGTTATGAAATTTCCCTTTGAAACTACTTAGTAGATCTTACCTACAAAAAGCAATTGTAATTCATGTGGTTACGTATTTTAGCTTGTTATTATATTTTGTGAATGTGTCTTTTGTATAAGTTAACCTGAAATAAAGCGGAAGAAAATTAGAGCTTAGATATTTTTAGTTGATAACGGTTAATATTAATGATGTCGGTTATATAGTTCTACTTGATTTTCTAAATGACCAAGCATGGCGAGTAGATAAATTTACCCGTACGCAAATTTTATTTTCCCGTCGCTAAGGAACTGCGTAAGTTTCAAAAACTTTGTATAGATATACACGATACGTGAAGTGACACGCCTATACGGGTTCTCAACCAGGCGCCTGCAGTCGCTTAGGGAGGACGTATTTAACATTCTGGCGCAAATTCAATGAAGACATGGTAATCGATCAAATTATGCAAAACTCTCTCAAAACAGATAGTCACTTTATCTGCTGAACCAGCCATATTTATCACGATCTACCGTCTACATCTGCAGGACTAAGTAGAGAATCAATCGTATCAAATCTAATCTAGCATTTTGAACGTTTTCTGGAATTTTGTTGTAGTAACGTAGGTATACATTATCCCATAAAACATTTACTTATTTTACGCAGTCTACTTGTGGGTAGGATCAATTTATTTTTGTTCCTAGTATTTATATCATGAACATTATTATGTCTTGAAAATTTATCCTTATTTTTATGGACATACAAACATTTTCAAAAATGTATTGAGAAGCAACAGTCAATACCCTTATCTCTTTAAACAAGTTTCTTAATGATTCTTTGGGGCCCAGATTGTAAACTGCACGAATAGCTCTCTTTTGTAAGATGAAGATTGTATTACTGTCGGCCGCGTTACTCCAAAGCAGAATGCCATAAGACATTATACTGTGGAAATAACTAAAATATAGCAAGCGAGCCGTATGCACATCAGTTAACCGTCTTATTTTTCTGACCGCGAAAGCTGCTGAGCTAAGTCTACTCGCCAGTCTATTAATATGGGGGCCCCATTACAGTTTGACATCAATAGTTATGTCAAGGAATACAGTTGAGTCAATAGGGTCCAACGCTTCTCCATATAAAAGAACATCAGTTTTTACATGTTTAACATTGGAAGTTGTAAATTTAATACATTTAGTTTTTTTTATTATTCAACAGTAAATTGTTAGCATTAACCAATGTACTACAGTGAATAGAGTATTGTTTACATCGTCATAACTTAAAGAACGTCGTTTTACTTTAAAAATTAAAGAGGTATCGTCAGCAAACCATACTATCTCATGATTATTATTAACTAGATAAGGTAGATCATTTATGTAAATGAGGAAGAGAAAAGGCCCAAGAATAGATCCCGGCGGGACCTTCATATTTACCAGGGCCCCAGGAGATCTCTTGCCATTCACGTCAACTCTCTGTATTCGATGGCTCAAGTACGATTTCAGAAGATTGAGTGCGGCATCTCTTATACCAAAGTGGCGTAGTTTCCTGAACAAGGTCTGATGCTGTACACAATCGAAAGCTTTGGTTAAGTCACAGAATATACCTAAGGCATCCTGCGACTCTTCCCAGGCTTCAAAAATATTCATAACAAGCTGAACACCCGCATCCGTTGTTGAGCGACCCCTAGTAAACCCATATTGCTTGTTATGTAATAAATTATGAGAGCTAAAATGCTGTAACATTTGATTAAACATGATTTTTTCAAAAACTTTACTAAGAGTTGGCAGTACAGGGATAGGTCTAAAATTAGTGGGGTCGGAAGTACTACCAGATTTAAACACCGGAATGATTTTACTATGTTTCATAAGGCCAGGAAATTCGCCACGATTGATACAAATATTAAAAATAGTTGCTAGGTAAGGCGATATAGCATCAATAATAGAACTGATCACCTTAACCCAGAGCCCCCATAGATCTGCAGAGAACAGATTGTCACTCTATCTATTGGGTGTCGTCCTATACTGCGATGGCCAGTACGAGGCTGCCACTCGAGAACCTTTCTTCCCCAACGGTTATCAGTTCTACGAGCTATATGGCCGGCCCATCGCCACTTAAGCTCACTAATCTTCTGAGCTTTGTCGGTTACGTTTGTTCTACTGCGGATGTCTTCATTGCAAACTCTATCATGCAGAGAAATACCGAATACTGAGCGATTTTGAGCTACCTCATACGGCCAGCAGTGAAGGACCACGTATCAGTCCCGTATGTCATCACTGGCAGCACACACTGGTTGAAGACTTTAGTCTTCAAACATTGAGGTATATTCGGCGAGAAGATTTGCCGAAGTTTCCCGAACGCTGCCCATCCGAGTTGGATTCGCCGATTGACCTCTGCGTCGAAGTTGAACTTACCTAGCCGGACTAATTGTCCTAGATATAC